CACCCCATGCCACATTTGTCAGTGTCATCTGGATCACTGCAAGGCACAAGTAGCCTGTAAGGTCAGCCCTAAAATGACCCCTTGCAAAAATCCCTCGAGATTCACTCCTCCCTGGGCAGGGTCCCTGCCTCTTCGTCATCCTCCAATGTATGACTATAAAATCTGGAAAATTCCCCAACAGGGAGCTTCCAAAGTTGACGTGGCCAACCAACCTGCCCACCCCTAAACAGGTTTGTTTAAATGAGTGACAAGACAGGATGAATGCACCCTATCTGCTATGACTCTCTCCCCACATTCTTCTCCTACCTAAAAATAAAGTTGTCCCTTACCTGGGATCATGGAATACGAGTTTCCCCCAAATATTCATTTGCTTAAATCCTGGTCCTGGTCCTTTAGAGGTGACTCTATTTGGAATTATGGTCTTTACAGTGAGGACTACAGTGGACCTACATCCATGTAACTGGGATCCCTTGGAAACTGGGCCGGCGACAAGCACAGGAGGAAGACAACATGGAGCGGGGAGACGTCAACGGGAGAGGCCTGGGACAGACTCCTCAGTCCTCAGAAGCAACCAAACCTGCCAGCGCCTTGGTCTCGGACATGTGGCCTTCAGGACCATGAGACAATAAGTTTTTGTTAAAGCCACCGTCTGTGGCGCTTTGTTAGGGCAGCCGTGGCAAAGCCATACCCAGCAGCCACTGCAGTGAAGTACCCACGGCCAGGCTCCCTCTCTCGTACACACGCGAGCCCGCGAACTTGGGCAGAGCTAGGATCCACACAAATGAGTCAGACAAGGAGAGCTTATTCATCGCCCCGACGAACCCACAGGCCGAACCCCTGAATCACTACTTTATTTATCACTGGGCTTGGGCTCAGAAAGACTTGACTAGGAAATGAGTAGAACCCAAACTCATCGGCTGCATTTTTTTAACATGCCTAATCTCAGAGGCTCTTTCCCAGCCAAAAGGAATCCTGAGAAGGAACGGGGCTCCTCTGAGCCGCCCCCAGTGGTGGTGGGCTGGTGCAGAGACAGGGCCCTTTGTTCTGCCACGCCGGACGATGAGGAGGGCAGAAGAGAAGGGCCTGTCTTGCTCTGCAGGGAGGCCACGCCTGGGCTGGCTGAATGGCGGGCCGAGCAGGGGCTGCCTGGCACAGTTGGGCTGGGGATGCTGGACGCACAAAGGGCTGATGGGTAGGGCACAGGGCAGCACCCAGAAGGGAGCATCAGAGTGGGGGGAGAGTCGGCTGTCTCCCACCACTCTCAGAGGTGAAGCAGCAATGTCACGGTCAGTGCCTGGGGGGTTGGGGGGGGGGACACAGTGGTTGGGACAGTGAGGAGGGATGCATGCAACAAGAACAAAAACTAAACAGTGTGTGCTTGGGAACGGATGGGCATCTGGAGGCACACAGGAGGAGATAGGGCGGCTTACAAAAGGCGTGCTTATCCGGGGCAACTTGCAAAGTAGCTTTTGAGAAGAGAATCTAGTATCTCTAATCTCAGAAGAAAAGTCACTGTTCGTTCCCAGATGAGGACGGTGCCTCCAGAAATCCAGGTCAGTGGTGATACAAAGAAGAGCAAGACAATGGCCCCCACTGTCCCTGCCAGTTCCTCCTCGCCTGTCCATCCTGGGGGTGCTCCCCTATCTCCCCTGATGTCTGTTCCTGACAGTTCCTCCTTTTTGTCAGAACCACTCTCCAGATAAAGAATTGACTGGACAGCAGAATTCAGGGGCGGGCGTCTTCTCCCACTGCCACCCCAGGAAGCAGCATGGCGAGAGTAGAACGCACACCAAAGACCCCCGAGGCCATAGTGGGCCCTGGACGGAAACCAGATTTTAGTACAGAGCATCAGTTCTCCCCCGGGGCTATTTTGCGTTTCTCCAGGGAACACATCTGGAGAGATATGGGGTTGTCACAACTTGTGGAGAAGCAAACGCTATTGGCATCTATAAAGTGGAGGCCAGGGATGCAGTGCTCACCGTCCCATAGCACACCAGGCGGTCCCTACCGCAAAGAACAATCCAGCCCCAAAGGTCAACGATGGCACGGTTGAGAAATTCTGCCCTAGAGATTTGGTCTGCAGCAATTTAAGGTTTCTTATGATCCTTTACATTCTAGAAAAAAAGCTCAGAGAGCTATCTCTGAAGTCATCACCTACCTGGGCCTATTTTAGGAAAACAGGACCAATGAAACCTTTTGCTGGTGGTTGGTAGAACAAGAGAACAGGGACCAATAAAAGCATCTATTATAGCAGGTGCTCAAAAAGGGCAGGGCTTCAAAGGAGCTGCCTATGCAAGTCTGTCTTCCTTGCTCGGTTTAACACCCTGACGTCCTTCCAAGTCTGGCACGAGGCCAGTCACCTCTTCCGAGGAAACTTGTTGGAATCCCCCTTCTCCCAAAGCTTATGTTGGCCATCCCTGATCCTGACCCAGGATAGATTGTGACCCTCTGTCACTGCATAGACCACCTGATCTGAACTCCACTCTTTCTATGTGGGAGACACTAAATGGCCCTCCTCCAGCAAATGAGGGTTAATTGCTGTCCTTGGGTGTCAGTCAAGTACCTGGCACAACCAACTCTTGCTTAACTGAATTCTGGACCCAACACATACAACCTGGGAGAGATGAGCAAAGGGAAGCACCAAGTCAATGAGTCCCTGCTGGGGAAAGAAAACAGATCCTACAGACTCACGGGGAGATTCCCAAGTCCCCACCTGATTTATAGTCACCAAGATGAACTTGAGGGAGGGTCTTTCCCAGGGATTTCCAACTGGATAGTTAGGTCCAAACCTTTGGGAATGGGTGCACTATGCAAAAACACACTGATTTTCTACTTGGAAGATAAGGGCTGGGGGTGTAGCTCAGTGGTAGAGTGCTCATCTAGCATACATATGTTTGACCCCCAACACTACATAAACAAACGAAAAAAAGGTTGAAAAAAGCAATTAAAAATCATTTGTGAACATAAAAGAGCAGAGTAGGAAGCTGAACAAAAGTAAAATCATTGTCTTGGGAATTTGAGAGATGGAGGCTGCATAAAATCTGAGGGAGGGTGTGTTCAGGAGACACACAGTTAATAACAGGGGCTGGGTTTTGAAAAATGCTGATGGAAGCCCATCCATTCATTTTGCAGGTGAAGAAACAGGGAAAGAGACTTGCCTGAGACCAGACCATAACAGTGCTTCCTCATGAGACCCCATTGGGCCAGGCTCCTGGTGCAGGGAGGAGGCAAAGGTATGGCCATGGGATGGGAAGATCCAGCCCTGTTCACTGGGGTGTCTTAGCCAGAGAAAGTGACAGTCAATGTCCCCAGGAGGCAAGGCTATGGGCTATAACTGTGCATCCTGGAGCAAGCAAGGCTGAAAGCCTTTTCCCCTAAATGCCAGAACATTCTGGTATAGGTTATCTAAGGCTTTCTTTGTATTCAAACTATCCAGATGCATCTCTTAAGTAAGCTGTAAACCTGGCCCCTCTTCTGTTAGATCACAGATAATGCCCATAGAACCACAAAGCTGGAGGCACTTGCCAGAGCAGACAGAGACAGACCCAGGACACAACTTTCCAGTTGCTTCTAGACACCTTGATTCTAGAGACTCCAAGACCAGAAAAATGCCCTGGGGACTCTCAGGCTGCAAGTTAAATGTCTCTACCAGCTCCCAAAGAATCATGGAGAGACCTTCTCTTAAAGAACCTTGGCCTGCGGGGGCACCCAGGAAAGAAGGGAGGGTGCAAGGGCTATTGGGCTATTGGGCCCTTGAGCTCATAGCCTCCGGGGGAAAGATTTCCTGTATGTCGTTTTACCCATTTAAGTCCAAGGAGGATGCAGCTCCGAGGAAGTGCTTATACCCCTGCATAAACACACCTTCACTTCTGAAACACATTTTGCGTCCCCAA